CGCGCCCGCCCCGCCCCCGCCCCCCCCCCCCCCCCAGCCGCTGCCGTCCGTCCTGCCGCTTTCACAGCAGCTGCAGGCAAGGCCACGCTTTCCTCTTCTCACCTCCTCCCCGATTATTTATTATGGCTTGCTCCACCTCTGCCTGCGAGCGCGCAGCCTGGGCGTTAGGTAGGCTTTCCATTTCCTCTTGCGTGCGGCCCCCCGCGCCTCTCCCCGGCTGCCCCAAAAGATGCCATCTCATCCTTTTAAGTTCCGTAATGTGGGCACCCTGGGGACATCGCTGTTGCCTTTCCAGACTAAAGGTTGCGTTTCCAGACGTGTTTTGTGTCCCTGAAGCCCTTTAAAGGTGATTCTCCTCCTCCTCCTCTTCTTCCTACCAAACACGTTGTTTGAAGCTTTTTTTTTTAATACAAGTGTCAGTTAGTAATTAAGTTGAAGCAAAGTGAAGCCTAAACAAGTACAGTGATTGAACGTAGATAAAATAAGATACGGCCTCGTAACGTATGTACAGCTCTGTGCCCCTTGTGCTCTTGTAGAAACAGTATGGTGGGTTCTGATTGTTTATGTTGTTTTTAAGTTGAAGAAAAATTAAGCTAGAAATCGTGGGCATATGTTGAAGGCTTTTTTTTTTTTTTAGGTGAAATTTCTGGTTTGGCGAACGTGTATATGTTAGGGAAGCTGCAGTGGAAGTTGTGCCCTGCTGCCTTATCTTCTTGGAATCTAGAAACTGTGTTATTCCTTGTTTCATTTAGATGATTTGATTCCAGGAGTATTTTGAAGGGACCTGGCTGCAGTGTTTGATAGCTCACAGGCCGGTTACAATTTAACTGAGTCATTGCACTATAAATGCCCAGATAGTGTAGAGCTTTATTGAAGAAAGAGTGAGAATCTAGCCTACCTGTAAGGAGGAAGTGCAGTCACTGCTGAAAGGAGGTGGTGCATCCCAGAGTGAAGGGTAGGGAGACTTTTTCTTTCCTGTTCAAATGTAAATTAGTGTTTATTGTGCTCAGTGCTGGAAAGTGACACGTTAATAAGCCATCCAACAAAGAAAAGTTTTTCTGAGATGAAAGTTTTGTGGTTAAAATCTGATTTAATAGTATCTGAGTAATTGTTGATGTAATGGCAACAAGAGTTGACATCTTGGAGAACAAAAGTACTTGTTCAGAGCTACATGTAGGTAGATTTGGGACTTTTGCTATCCAGAGCAGTTGTGTTTCCAAACTTGTGCTTGAGGAGGTCTGTCTTGTTAACTTATCAACATTCCTTCGTACAGCCTGAGATAGGGTTGACATTGACCCTTAAGCAAGACAGCAAGTTGTTCATAAGTCAAATGCACATATACAAGCGTATGTTTTTATTGAGCAGGACAGGAGAGGTAAAAAGTTAGTTATTGTGTGTGTTAGGCAGGTGTGAAAACTGACTTCCTCTTGGACTGGCCTGCAATTCTGAGTTACCTATTGGAAGTGAGATCTGCTAATTTTTTTTTTCTTAAGATTTTGTAGAGCATATGTACACAAAATGCAAGATACTGTCAAATGCTTAGCATAACCAGACTGGACTGATTTTTCCAGTAGTCTTAGGGGTAAAAAGTATCAAATGGAAATGTGCTTTTTCTCTTCTGTTCCCTGTACTTGTTTATTTTTCTAAAGTTGAAAGTGAACTAATCACAACTTAAGGAAAAAGTAAAATTTATTACAGTAATGAAAATTAAAGTGAGCTAATATTTTTACATCATAAACTTAAATAGCTGCTTTACATGTTGACTGTATCACCTGAGGTGTTTCATAGTCAGCCATGTTTAGGTTTAATCCATTATTCCGCAAAAGATGACAATGAGACAAAACAGAACAGTGGTTAAATAGAGATCTTGGAACTCAAACAGGGATTAACTTAGTGGCAATCATATTTGCCTGTAGGTTTTGCTTCGCATGGGATTGGCTTAAAAGAACAGACATAGGATTGACTGCTTAAAAGCTTATTTTGTTGTCTTTTTAGAGCTAACTTTTTCCCCTCTTTTTTAACACTGGCAAAAGGTTCCTGTAATACCAACTGTATTACTGTTTGCAATGAGAGCACTGTTAACTTTACCAGTGACAGTCCAGGACGTTACTATATTAAAGGATAAACTATATTTTGCATTGTGTGGAACACATGTATAAACTTGCCCAAGGCAAAGTTAGGGAATTGCATTTCCCATAGTCAGCTGTCTTGCTCAACCGTTGTGCTTGATACCTCATTGCAGGGCTATCGGAGAAGCCACGAAGACTGTAGTATTTTGTTAATTTTAGAATAGCTGTTAAGAACTCGCCTGAACAAATGGTTTGTGTTTTTCCTGTATGTGAACATACATGGAGCAGAGGGGAGTCTAGAATAGGAGGAGAGTATGGAGTTCCCAGTTGAGCAGTGGCATGAAGGCGAAAACCCCTGCAAGAGTTTTTTTTGGCTGTGTGCAGGGTGGTGGCCACCCCTGCCAGTGCTGGGCCTGCAGGCCAGAGAGGCTCTGCCAAGCCTGGAAGCTGGGCAGACTTTCTAACCGCTGGCTGAAACATCAGCGCAGTAATCAGCTGGGTTTCAAGCAGTAGATGGGATAAATAGGGTAAGTGCCCTATGGATAAAAGGGATAAATATCCTTTTGGGACAATTAGTGCCACAGGAATGTGGTGACAGGCAAGTGGAAAGATGGATATAGGTAGAGAATGAAGTCTAACAGAAGGAAAATGTACAAAGGAATTTGCACTGTTGTACAAAAAGATACAGGTATAAAGAGGCTGTCTAAACAGTCTTAAACTAAATAAATTGTTTAATGGTAACAGCATTTGTAGCTTGCGCTCTCTTCCTGCGACCAGGCCGAAATGGTAACACTAACTGAACAGTATTGGTCTGCCTGTAGAAAATCTGAGGAAAGTTTTAAATGGTATGAGATATTTCTTTCGGATATTATGATGTTAGGGGTTTTGATAGTTGTATTTGAAAATACTGAATTAGAAAATGATGCGCCGAGATTAGCAACCAATATTTTAGGTGGACATTTGTGATCGCATTTAAAAACTTTGAATTCTCTGATGGGAAGAAATGTCTCAAGAAAATTGGGCGACGGAGGTCTCTTGGTAAAGGTGGATGTATGGATTTTAATGTTTCTGGATTATTTATTTGAAACTCACTTTGAAGTGTGAACAGACTATATTGCACTTAGAAGAATTAATTTGGTAATTTATTTGGCTGTCTGTTGCAGGTCACTTAACTTGATGGTTAAAGAAGGAGAATAGGAACTGAGTCTCATGTAAATGTTCCAAGCACAGAAAGCGGAAGAAGCAGTTGTTAGCCACCTTAGTTATTTATGGTCAGGCCCTCCTGACATAGTCTTCTCTTACTTAAATTGTCACTGGAACTCTTTTCTCCTGTTTAATTG